ATTCTGGATATTGAAGCCGACTCTGGTCTAAGGGTGCTGGGCGTCAATATTCTCGGCAAATTCCTGGCTAACAAGGACAATAATATCCGTTATGTTGCGTTGAACACCCTGAATAAGGTTGTTGCAATTGAACCAAATGCGGTGCAGAGGCATCGCAACACGATCTTGGAATGCCTGCGGGATCCTGATATTAGCATTCGCCGGCGAGCGCTCGATCTCAGCTTCATGTTGATCAACGAAGATAATGTGCGGGTGCTGGTGCGGGAACTGCTGGCCTTCCTGGAGGTGGCCGACAACGAATTCAAGTCCGTGATGACAACACAGATAGGTATCGCGGCCGATCGGTTCGCACCTAACAAGCGCTGGCACATGGACACGATTCTGCGGGTTCTCAAGCTGGCTGGGAACTACGTTAAAGAACAGATCCTGTCCTCATTTGTCCGTCTCATTGCGACCACCCCTGATCTGCAGACCTACGCGGTACAAAAGCTCTTCTCGTCATTGAAGGAGGACATCTCACAGGAGGGTCTCACGCTGGCTGCGACATGGACCATTGGTGAATATGCTGATAGCCTCCTTCAGGGTGGTCAGTACGAGGAAGAGGAACTGGTCAAGGATGTGCGGGAGAGTGATCTTGTTGACCTCTTTACCAACATTCTCAACAGCACCTACGCCTCCCAGATTGCTGTCGAATACATCATCACTGCATCCATGAAGCTTACTGTGCGCATGTCGGATCCCGCTCAAATTGAACGTCTGCGCCGTTTGCTTTCCAGCCGAACCGCAGACCTGAGTGTAGAAATTCAACAGCGTGCCGTTGAATACACCAATCTGTTTGGCTACGATCAAATCCGCCGTGGTGTGCTCGAGCGGATGCCCGCACCTGAGATCCGTGAGGAACAACGGGTACTAGGTGCTGCTCCTGCTGCTAAGAAACGTCAGAGTAAGCTTCTCCGTGGGAAGTCGACAACAAAGGCCGCCAAACCTGCAGAGCATGACCTGCTCCTTGACCTGGTTGGTGGATCCGACGCCCCTGTCACGAGCCCTACCTCGAACGGATCGAACACCGCCGATCTGCTGGCAGACATTCTTGGCGGAGACTCGGGCATGTCTTCTCCCTCGCCGGGGCCTGGTGGCCAGAAGAACCCGAACAGCGCCATCATGGACCTGTTTGGCTCCAACGGTCCTTCGCCATCCCCTCAGCCCACACAACCTGCATCCGCCTCGATGGATCTGCTAGGTGCAGGAGGAATGGGTGCCTCCGCGCCTTCGCCCTCCACATCTCCCGCACCTGTCACTGCTGCGACCCCCGCACACACCGCGCTGAACAAGGACGGTCTCGTACTTACCTTGCAAGTTCAACGAAGCGGGACCAACGCCCAGATACTGGCCCGCTTCCGCAACGACTCCAACTTCGACCGATTCACTAGTGTCGGCTTGCAAGCTGCCGTGCCAAAGAGCCAGCGGTTGCAGCTGAGCGCAATCAGCAAGGCCGATCTGGAGTCTGGCGACGAGGGCACACAATCAATGCGTGTGACCGCTCTGAATGGGGTATGTCAAGTTCCCCCTTCCTATCTTACACTTTTGCCTTCTTTTGGATCTCAAACTAACCTATTACCTCCAGGCTCTTCCTACCAAACTTCGTCTCCGTCTTCGTGTTACTTCAGCCCGCGATGGTGGAAACCCTGTCACCGACCAAGTGGACTGGTCTGAGCCGTAGATCAAATCGGTGGCAGTGATGCTAAAAGCTCATCCAAACGAATGTTTAATTTTCCCATGAACAGTCAAATCCAGTTTTATACACCCCCGTTCTCTGCACCTTCCTCGCTTCTATCTATCTAGACTTTTGTTCTGCCATTGATTTCCTTTTCCTTTTCTCTTGTACTTCGTTTCACTACCTGGAGGGAGGGATTTTTCTTATTGTACATGCTTCAGATGAAAGTTTTAGTGTACGGCAAAGTGCAAGGAGTCCATGTAGTTAATGGCCTATATGAGAGTAGTGTGCTCCTTCCTATATGTTTGTACTTATTAGACACTAGTAGAAGTTGAAGTGCGTTCAAAATAGTGATACCTATGACGCAAACTAGATCCAAATACATAAACCGAAAATGCAATACGCGACAGAAAGCAAGGCTCTATAACTTGAAAAGACAATTCAGATCAACTGCATTCTCCGCAAGGGAAAAAAAAAAAAAAAGAGAAAAGAAAAGTCCGTATATAATTCCGAAAGCAAAGAGACAAGTGACTCCATGGCAAAAAAAACAAAAGAATGCAAGGTCGTATGATTTGTCCAAAGTCCAAGGCGTGAGCCCAATCTATAAGGCAGAACCGGAATATACCAAGACGCCAGAATGGTACATAATATGGAGAGCAAGTCCAAAATGTATAGCCAAGCCAATCAGATGTGCTCAATGGGGCCCTCGGGGAGCAGCACCTCTCCCTCTCTCCGGTCACGGGGCAAGCAAGCCTTGAGCGGGGGGGCGGACGATGTCATTGAACATAAAAGTTCCATAGACAAGAAGCGCGAAGCCGGCAACTTGGAGCCATTTGAAGCTCTCCCAGCCAAGTCCAAGCGAAACAAGCCAGATGAAGAGCGTGCGGCAGGTGTCGATTGTGCTACGAGAAGTAGCAGAGACAGTACGGGTGACAGAGAGACCGAAGAAGTTGAAGCCACTAGAACAAACGTTAGAAGGGAGTATAGCGACAGGGACTTGAGCAGCAAGATAAACACATACCCGATACTGATCATGATGAACACGCTCGATATGGCAACAGCACGGTTATTGAAAACCTCATGCAATCCCTGTTTGATATCAAAGTAGCCATATCGGCCGGCATCGGTCCGTCCAACAATAAGATACATGATGAACATGCCAACGATAGTAACCAAAAATCCGAAGACACCTTCCCAACCCACGACATGGATCGGTTCCATGGCGTAATTCTCCAAAATCCACTCCTCCAGTACAAACTGGGTGGCTGTGAAGATCTGCGCTGCGGCAATAAGCAGCACACCAATGATAGCCTGGACAGCCTCAGGGGTCCGAGCGACATCACGCGCCTGGATAAGAGCACGCGAGGCCGCATCAGTAGCACTCCCATCATGGGTGATATCGTGGTCTGACTCCCCACTGAATAGAGCTCCAGAAAGACCCACAATAGCCACACCGAGAACGACAATGAAGAGTGCACTCCACTGGTATAAGTGGAGTCTGCGGCGAAGGAAGAGAACACTGAACAGGCCTACGAAGAGGACGAGGGCACCCCGGGTCATCTGGTAGATACTGGCTGCCACAAATAGAAGACCCACGTTCATAAGGGTTGTGCCGGCGATATCGCAGCTCGACGGCGCTGCAAGAAGTAGGGTCTTCCATCCGCGGAGTGGGATGCGGCTGTCATCTTCGGGTAGGGGCTTGGGGTGTCTGCTATCACTATCGAGTTCATCGACTGTGTGATCGTCGTCATGATCGAGGCCTTCGTCGTCGCCGTTTATCGGGTGATATCCGCCAGTTAGAAGAGGCGAGGGGTCACTGGATAGCCGCGGTGCGATGTATTGACGGTAGAGGAAGGTTAAACCGATAACTAGCCAACAGCCCATTTCACCCATAAACATTACGGCTCTGTTTTACCATATGGTGTTAGCATTCATCGCTAGTGTTGCAAAGCTTTATCATCAACACGAGGTCAAACCTACGTTTGAATGACAGGCTGTTCGAACAGCTTCCGCTGGCTGGGATCTGGGGAATCGCAGTTCCGGACACATTGCATATCCTGTTCGACATGCAGCGATTAGTTTGTGTTTCTTATTTCTTTGTAGCTCTGGATGGAGGACGAACCTGATACTTGTTAAGAATGGTGTTGCACACCCCGGTCACAAGCATCATTGTGACCAGGATGGGAATGAGGGCCTTGTTTGCCATCTTGTCCCACTGTGTTTGTAAAAGTTAGTACAAGTGGTTAAGAGGATAAGAAGATGAAGCGAGGAGACCCTTGGAGAAGCCAAGTGAGGAGACAAAGCGGAGAGCTTATCGCAGCTGATAACATATGTCACGGTATCAGGACTCCCCACAAGGTACCCGTAGACATCACATTGGGCTTCTACATACAACGTTGTACATTAGTCTATTCTATATATTCCAAACTCTCTAGGACTCAAATGATATCTAAATATGCATATACTGGATCTACTCACTTCTTATGTTTCCCTTTTTTGAGTGCTCAGTCCTTGCTTTTCGCTGAGTATAATTAAGCACGGCCTTAACCCCAATTTTCTGAGTATTACATAATCACACCGACTATCCATGGATCCTCCATGCCAAGCATCAGTAGCAACGATCCATACTTGAACTACAAGTTATCTACGGAGTAACTAGGGACAAGATAGATTTGATTCTTATGCAGATTGTCGATTTGGGGACTAGATATGGCTCTTTTATGTATTTGCCAACTCTTGAACCGATTTCTAGCTCAGTTGCTCCAAGCCGTATATGGCTGAGTAGCATCAATAACCTGGTACTTGGTTGGTAAGAAAGGTGAATAGAGTATGGTGCTAACAAAGATAATCATTCCAATTATCTGGTCTTACATATTTACAAGGAAGAGACTCGGTGTCCAATATTTCCCTCTGAAAGTGAATATCTTTTTCTGCTCTTATTGGAGGAGGGTTAGACAAAGCCTTCTGAAACAACCTGGGAAGGTCATGCAGTGAGCAGCGAGAAGACAAGGAAAACATCTAGTATATCAACCTTCGAATAAAGTACCTTTCTAAAATTACTTTCAATGCTACGCTAAGTATCCTAGAGTAGTATCAAAGTTCTTTCACAGGGCACTCGCCCATCCACGGCGATGCCACATTCAATTATACATATATCCTTGGCATTCTAGCCCATTTCCACCTCTTTGAGCAGATAAATATAGACCCTGCTTCCTCGAAAAAAAAAAAGAAGAAGAAGAGGAAGAAGAAGAAAAGCCAACTACGCTCTCAAGCAGTCCTAGAGAAAATGGGGTTCTTCTACCTTGGCAACTTCATTGCTCTCATCGGCATCCTTTTGGTCAGTCCGACAGCAACTTCAGGCGCAGCTGTTGCTGCTGCACCTCAAGCAGATAGCAACGGCATTTGTTACAAATATGTTGTTCAGGCTGGTGAAACTTGTTCTGCAATTGCTCAAGCACACTCCATCACCACGGCTAATATCGAAACCTACAACGCTCGAAGCTGGGCATGGCCTGGATGCGGACAGATATCGCAGGGCTCTTTTATCTGCCTCAGTCCTGGAGAGCCTCCAATGCCAGTTGCGCTTCCAAATGCTGTTTGTGGCCCCCAAGTGCCTGGAACAGCACGCCCCAACAGCTGGTCTGACCTTGGGTCTTTGAATCCATGTGCAGCCAATGAATGTGTGAGTCGAGAGTTTGAAACCCTTTCTCTGGGTTTGACATCTAATATTGTTAACAGTGCTCTTCGTGGGGTCTTTGTGGAACCACTTCGGACTTTTGCACTTCTGGGGCCCATGCCACTACTGCATTATATTCAGCCACATCGAAAAAGACTACCACTTCTATTAGCACAACTAAACCTATTCATCAACATGTTGCTAGCATTGAGACTTCATCCACTAGCAAGGCCACATCGACCAAGACAACCAAGTATGTCCCCACATCTACGTCAACTACTTCAACCCGCAAAACCACGACGTCAACCAAATCATCCCAAACAAAAACAAAAACAAAAACCAGTACTAGCACTAAAACAGCCAAAAAGCCACCTGTTAAATCATGGGTACTCAAAATGTACACCAAGAAGAACTGCGCGGGTGACTACTACATACTGAAAGGACACAATGTGGGCTACGATAATGTCTGCTTGGACCTACATGGAGGTCTAAGCAGCAAGGACACAGACACAGATGTTTCTTGCAAATGGTTTACAAACAACGGAAAATCCACCTCTGCTTGTGATACCAGCACCCTCGAGAGACCTCAATCCTGGACAGTTGAGACTGGTATCTGCACTATATACGAGACAAAAAAGTGTAAATCTAGCCTGTATGCTAATGCTTATACGCCTGGGTTGAATTCTCCTTGTCAGAATCGGGATAAATTTGATACGCCGAAGTTTCTTTCTATGAATTGTTATACTGAGGGTTGAGGTTGAGGGCTTTGGATGTGATGTATTACTTTTTGGTCTAACCTTTGGGGTTTGATTCATGTTATAGGACTCATGCTTATACTATAAGGACATCTCTGTGGTTTTCTGAGATTCATTGACGATCTATTGTTTACTTATGTAGATTTATATTGGAATAATGTTGACGGTAACATTGCCTTGGGTTACGATCAGCTCCAAAAAGTCTTGCATTCTACAAAATATCCTTCAAATCTCTCATTAGTTCTTTTCGTATTCTGTCCAGCATTTATCACATGATGACTCTGGGGCTGCTCACTGAGTCTGAGTCAGGACTGGAATTTACTTGGCCTCACTCAGAGTGAGGCCCTCTTAAGAACATCAGAGGAATGACCCAGCAGAGGAAATATGGTGATTATTTAGAACTACATACATAGATACATATATATATGTACGTATGTGTAAAATTCAAGTTTCCAAAAATCCAAATAAATGACCCGGTTAATAACCTAATCCCCGGTTTTCCCTCCCCCCCAAACGCCATCGCTGAGGCCAATGGACAACACAAATGTCCAAATATAATTAGAAACCCAAAAGGTAGTTAGATCCCCAAAGATCACAAGAAATTAACCAGGAGTCCCGCATAGGGTACAAACGCATCGCTCCTGGGCTATATGTACGCTGGAAACGAACCGCCGAAATAGAATGTTTCATAAACTCAATCCATCTTCATGTAGCAGTGGTGATGTGTACATGCTCTCAATACGAAACAGGAACCCACTTTTGACTGATGCGAATGCCTTCTTTCTCGTAGCGCGCAACAGCATCCCAGTCAACCTCAAGCTGTCCCAAGGGACCGATGCCCTTGACCTGGATCTCAGGCGGAATGCGCATCCAGTCCGCAGACCTGGCAATGGATTCTTCGTCCCAAGGTTCATAAAACTTCTCCAAGAAAGCAGCCTCCTCGGCCTCGTCTGGAGGAGTTAGACTAGCAAAGGCAGCCCAGTCATCATCGACCGGAGTAGCTTCATTGATATCGAAGTCCTCGAGCGAATCATAGCCCAGGTGAGGCAGATCCTTGCTTGCGAGGTTTGAAAATGTATCATGGATCGTGTCAAGCGAGGTGGGACACTCCGCCCAGGGATCCTTTGTGTCGCTATCCTCTAGTTTGGTAATAGCATCCTTCTTTCCGTCCTTGTCAGCAGGCTTCGTTGCCTTAACAGAGGACAACTGCGGAGTGAGCAGCTGAGTTGGTGCTGCAGCAGGAGACGCGGTCTTGGCTCCGAATTGGCTAGTGACCCTGGCCATGGGCGTGTTGTTGGCAAGGAGAGGGGTGGCAATACTTTGTTTTGCGGGAGAAGCTGCTGCACTAAGCTTGGTGGATGGTGGCACCGGTCCGAGTGTGGTCACCTGCTGGGTTTCCGGACTATCATTGGGGTTCAACCCAAGACCCATCGAGATGCTTTCATGGTAATATTTGAGATAATCCCCAATCGCCTCTTCCTCCTCGGGTTGATGGCTTTCTTCGACGTGCTTGTCCAAAACAGCTTGCGTGGCGAATCCTTGGTAATGGTGTTGACACTCGACCACACTGCATTTGAAAGCACCTGCCATAGCTGCAGCATTGGATGTGGCATCCGCCACCGCTTTGTTATATTTGGCCGTTGCGCCAGGAGCTGCAGTTGCTTGAACCGGGGATGACGCCACGCCATGAGACTGCTTTCGCTTTTTGGGAGGAGGCAGTTTAAGATTCTCGGGGGCAAGTCCGCCCGGCGCATACTGAGGGACGCCCCTGGGAGACGGAGCCGCGAAAGGTGCAGCTGGGGCATTTGCAACAGACTGGCTAGAGGCGCGCCGAGCTCGTTGTAGGGCTTCTTCCTGTGCCTGCAACTGCTCCAAGTTGGTCGCGTTCAGTGCCGGCATGTTGCCTTGGATTGCCTGGGTGTTGGAGCTAGGAGGTTGGGAGGCGTTAGGACGTCCTTGTTGCATGCGAGAAATCATCACTGCGAACAACTTCCGTATAAAAAGTATTGCACCAGTGAGGTAATCGGAAGTAACCGTGAAATGTTCGTTTACAACCCAATCCTGCGAGGACTTGAACTGCCTCATCAATTGGATACGCTAAGTGAGATCAGATTAGTAAACAAACGCCTATCCATGGATATTACCAAAGGAGAGCTTACCATGGCGAGAAGATTCTTCACATTCTTCTCCTGGCCTTGCATCTTCGCGAACCATTGTACAAGGACATCCAGCCGGCCGAGAACATCCAACGCTTCGCGCAGTTGCTTCGTCATGGCGGCCTTCTGCTCTGGCGAGGCAGGTATAGGCTTTGTGGGTGGAGCGTTCTTGGCGATGTCATTATAAACCTCCATAACTTGCTGTGGTAGGTTCCTGTTCCATGCCTCTTCGGCGGCAACTCTGCTGAGTACCTGACCCCGACCTTGAGACTGTTGCCTCCGCATGTGGGCCTCAACCTGAAGTCGCTGCTGGGGAGTCATTTGTGCAAGCTGTTCCGGTGTGAAAGGAAGACCTGGCCGTTGGGGGGTCGTCCCTGGGGCGCCTGGAACTGCCACAGGCTGGCTCATCTGGGGTGTAGCTGCAGCTCGGGCTTCAGTTGTATCATCTGTGCTAGGTCGCTTCTTTGAGGCCTGTTTCCCGGAAGCACCCTTAGCACCTTTGGTCGCAGCTCCAGCTTGGGGCTTTACGTTTGCCGCTTGGGGGGTCGATTGCGGGGCTTGGGGATGCTGTTGCTTAATTTGCGGGACAGGCTGTGCTGCAGGAACCGGAGGTTGCGCTGCTGGTTGGTTTGGCTGGCCAGGCTGCGTGTTTCCTTCAAGTTGCATTGCTCGGTTCTGTGCAGCCTGCATCATCTGCTTTTGGCGGTTTCGGTACAGAATCTCCCGAATCTGCTCATCGGTGAAATTTGACGCCTGGTGTCCGAGCTTTTGGCGAGCCATTTGGATGTCTTGGGCGGAAATTGGCCGCATGGCTGCCATGTTCATAGCAGTGGGTTGTTGGCCGGGGGGGAAGCCTGCTGCATTCGTAAACGGAGCCTGGGTACTTTGGAGTGGAGTTGCCGCCGGACCCTGGCCATTCTGGTTGGCTTGGTTTGCGGAAGCTGAGAGCAGCTGACCAAGATGAAGCTTCTGAAGCATCATGAGGCGCGGGAGGTCATTGGGACTTGCAACTTGAGGGTTCGAATTCGCCCATTGCTTGAGCTGGCCCCATGATTTGATGTTGCTGGGAACTTGCATCGAGGCGCCATTCATATTCAGAATAGACGGTGGGAAAGTCACGCGGTCCATTTGCTTGCCCTGCTCAGGAGTCATCTCCACACCATTGTTTTGCTGCCGCAGCATTTGGAGCTTATAAAGCTCATTCTGGCGTTGTTGACGTTGCTGCTGAGTCATTTGCTGGCCTTGGGGCATTCCTCCTGAGCTCAAATCCTGCGGGCCACTCATCGAGCCTCTCATCATAGCGTTGCCCATCTGGTTATTCATCATTGGTTGGGCTTGGCCTGGTTGAGGTTGCGGCTGCTGGCCGGGGTTGGCTCGGGCCATGTTGTTGAGAGCCGCACGGCGTTGCTGCATGATAAAAGCCCGAGCTTGTTCAGGAGGCATGCGAGCGAGTTGTTCCTGGATGTGAGGCGGGATATTGGAAGGAATTTGGGGTTGACCTTGCATCGCAGCCTGTCCTGCAACGCCAGCCGGATGCGGGCCCATGTTCGCAGGTCGGGACGGTGGTCGGGCTTGAGCGGGCACCTGGACCGGGGACATCTGACCCGCGGCCATGGGTTGATTCAGCATTGGCATGACGGGGCTCTGTCCGTTCAGTTGCGGCTGTGGTTGGGGGGTCACTTGGCCACCGTGGCCCGACATCGCCATCTGAGCCTTCTGGGCCGCTTGAGCACGTGCCTGGGCTTGGGCTTGAGCCTGAGACTGTTGTGCCTGAAACTGCATTCGGTCCTGAGGAGTATTGGACCCACCCTGCAGATGCTGCTGGGCAAGGAACTGGGCCTGGGCGTTTGTATTATTGGCGTTCAGATTCGCCTGGCCATTCTGGCCCATTTGCTGTGGAAACATGTTGTTGTTATTATTATTCGGAAATGGGGCCTGGTTCATTTGGGAAGAGCTAGCGGGAACGACTAGCTGACCAGCCTCCTGGGAGCGCAGGCCATCTGCTTGCTGTCCTTGGATGTTTTCCACATTGCCAATGAAGTTTGGGGGTTCCATTGTCTGGCCAGGATTTCCGGGAAATGCAGAATTGCGTTGAAGATTTAACATGTTTTGAAGCATCTGTCGCTGGTGTTGAGAATTCATCATCGGGTCGCCCATCATGTTACCATTGGTATCGACCCCAGCACTTGGCGCGCGTCCTCCCATTTCCAGACGAGCGCGGCGATGGCGTCTGATCTGGTTGAGGGCCTGGGAGCGGAAAAAATAGGTCATTGGCTCAAGGTTTTTCCGTGCCAGGTATTGCCGCTGCTCGGGCGTCATGTTTGACAGGTTCAATTTGATCTTCTCCATATCTTCCGGGTTGGTTTTATTCAACATCTCGTTTGCCAGTCGAGAAACATGGTCAAGATCTTGGGCTGAAAGCGTGCTGAGGTCGTCGACCATCGGAATCCCATTTCCAGGGCGCTGTTGGGTTCGCTGTTGTTGTTGTTGCTGCTGCTGCTGCTGCTGCTGCTGCTGTTGTTGCTGTTGCTGTTGTTGTTGCTGCTGCTGTTGGAGCATCGCTTGCGACTGCTGTTGCTGTCGCTGCTGCATTGCTGCCTGTTGGTTCTGCCCATTCATTCCCATTGCCATCTGCTGCTGGCCAGAAACCGGGGACGTTTGCATGCTCTGATTGATGTGCTGCGGGAAAGCGCCCGGGATTTGATTTTGACCAGCGCCCGTCTGGGGCATCATTCCACTTTGGTAAGCGACCGCGGCCTGTCTCTCTCGGGTGTTTCTGATGTGGAGAAGCTTCTCGGTACATTCCTTTTCGTATTCGATCTTCTCGTTGGCTTTGGTGAATGC